GAAATCCACCCAGCTCTGGAGTTTCTCTTGAAAGGTCTGACTGTCACTGACAGGGAGAGATCTGCCAGGAAGGAGCGTGCATTKGGTTTACGTTTGCAGGTTGAGTGTTTACAAGAGTCCCTCATCTGTTCAACAGGCTCAGGATGGAAAAGGAGAGATCCCCTTGACCAGCACAGTATCTGTGAGAGAAAGGACYGAGCCATCCAGATGCTGGTTTTTACTTAGTTTTTGCTTAGCACTTTTTCTGCCGRTCCCTTGCTAAATGCCATAAGAAACACCGTATTAGTGCAAGCTACAAAAATTGTATTTTATTTCCACTTGATTTTTCTAGAAAGCTTCCCTACCAACACATATGTGTGGGTATTGTATGTCCTTTCAGTATATCTAGYAGCACTTGGAGATTTATCTGTACTGGGCTTCACTGCTTATTGCTAAACCACAAGTCCTCCTCTTTTTCCCGAACTGGCTTTTGCTCATCCTTCTTGGGTACTAGTCCTGAGAGAAAATCAGGGTGCTGTTCTCAATTTTCCCTTCTCCTCAACACWCACCCATATAGAGGAACACACACATCGAAACTCCAGTAATGTATTTGTTTGCTTTGATTTCAAAGATGAAGTTTACCACAGAGCTCACTTTGACAATGTGTAGTGTTACCAGAAAACTACTGAGAAAAATTGAATCCAGCAGTATTCAAATASTATATATACTATATACTCAAGAGAATAATCAGCTAAAATTAAAGCTTCTTCCTATGATTCTCTCATTCTTCATCTCTCTCTGAACCTATGGTGAGCATCTTTTGTCATGTGCACAGACTGCAATGGAATCCTTGTGCTGTTTCCTTATTTTTTGTGAAAGCCATTGATTTCCATCCACGAAGCATAACCACTCCTGCAGACCATCTTAGTTACTGGAACCGTGTTTGTCTTCTCCATGAAAACAGTATTTTTATTTTTTTTTATATATGAGACTAATCTTTTAACTCCTTTGTGATGACTCAACACTAWAAGGACTAAAATATGTAAAGTGATATTAACATTTCCTAAGGTGAAAATGAACAGATTAATTTTTTACCTTTCTCTAGTCAAAGAAAGCTCTACTAAATACTGCCCTACCAGTTTTCACTTTCCTTTGTGTTTCAGTTAAGGAAAAACCCCCATGCCTTCTTTTTTATAGTCTCCTATGTAGTTGTATAGTTCTAGTCTCCCTAACCTCATTCATCTCTTGATTCTGCCTTTAATCACCTCTTCTCAAATCCTTTTTAAATCCCACTTCCATGAGTGATGTATTTTAAAGTGCACAGCTGATTCAGCCTACCGGCATTCTTCCCATCACTTTTACCTGTCTGACCTAAGGAGAGGAGCAAAGGACAGAATGTGGCTACAGTGTGTATATGGCTATTTTGACCAGAAAGAGCTTACAAGTAGAGTATGTTATGAAAGGCATTAAACAGATTTTTCTGTGATGGTGAGGACAGCTCCAGCAACACTTCATGACAGATTTGGATGCAGAAATCTTGGACTTTGGTACCTTTAGTGAGGGAGATTTAAAAGTGGAAACCGCAAGAGAGTAATTGATGCTAATGTGTGCCCCAACTGAGTATTGCTAGGATCATAAGGATGACATTAGCTTGGTGAGGATGACATGACATTAGTTACTTATATCCCACATTATTAACCAAATCAATATTGATCTAATGGTTAATCAGTGGAGATGTCACACCAGCACGGAGCAAGAAATTGCTRTTTGCAAGAAGATGTGATGGAAGTGCAGTTTTCCTGTGTACTTCTGACAATGACCAAACAGATTTATCACTCTGCTTGCTGTAGGATTCCTCTGGCAACTGTAATAGATGTAGAAAAAAACTTAAACCCCAAATCATCTACACCTTTTCAAAGCTGTTGAAGCACTTTGATCCCTTGTAGGGCAGTGCCACAGGGGAGCAATCCTGGGCAGGCAGCCCCCATGTTCCAGTTGTGACCCGAGCTTTGGATGAGATGCATGGAGACCTCCTAAATAGGCTTCACAAAAGCTGACACTGGCAGCTAAGAGGAAAGCCTGAGGAGAAGGAATTAAGCCTAAACCCCACAGAATTTTATGCTTTTCTCAGGGCCAGACTCACAGAAAAGCATCTGAGAGGAGCTGGCACTGCATCAGTGCAGAAATTTCTGATACAAAAAAAAAAAAAAAAGAGAGGAGGAAATCCTTCTCATTTCACCCCTCTCTTCTAACASCACACAATGATTAGAGCACTTAAGATGGATGTTAGAGATTGACTTTTTACAAATGGCACTAGGATTTGTGTGGCTCTGTACCCTGCAGCAATGTCTTAGCACCACGGGAAATACCCTGATCTGGCTGCCTAAGGCATGCAGGCCTCCAGGGCCAGCCTTGACTGGAAAGAGGAGAAGAACAGGTGTGGATTTTGTGTATGTATTTTTGTCACCAGGCACATAAATTGCCTGTGCTGGAGACATAAGTGTGTTATAAACACACGTGTGTGAACGTTCCACTATGGCTTCAGCCTCAATCATGAGAGTCATTGCCTGGGTTTGCAAAACTGCATAGATTAAGGTCAAGGTACCACCAAAGGAAAAGAGCAGAAAAAAAAAAAACCAACCTTGGGACCATAGCTAGACTGTGAAAATAGATAAATAAAGAGTCAAGTTTCGATGCTTGTTTTGGTGGGGATCTTGTCTGGGGATCTTGGCAGGAGTGCATGAACAACTGTTACAACTCAAAAAAACCACCACCAGTTTTAATTGTGAAGGTTTGGGGAGCGAAGACCTGGTACGAAAGAATACCATTGTGTACTCTTAGTGCAGGAAAACCAAACAGCAGAGAGTAAGGTATGACAGACTGACACCCAAGACTCTTGGCTTGGGAGATCAGAGCGTGGGGGCACKGAGAACTTGGGGTGGAGACCTTGCTTGAGAGAAGGCATCTGGTAGGAGGCAGAGGCAGAGCAGGCAGCCAGGCTCCTGCAGCTGCCAGCATTCACCTAAGCACAATGAATGTTTAGGGTTTAAAACGCATTCCTTTGCATCCCAAGCATTTGGAAAGGATTGTATTTGAGGATCTGCTCTGAGCCCATCATCAATTAAAACCAAGRTGTCTCTTAAWAATGTGCTAAAATACTGTCTTTCTSTAGYTGTGTCACGGTTTTATTGTGGCTGCTTGAGACAGAGGGGCAAGCCTGTCACACGTGTGGATGGGACACAAAACCCAGTGAATTTGTCTGGGGATGACGATGCCATTTACCGCAGCCCCATGGAGAGCTGCAGTCACTTGTGTACAACAGGAGTTGAGGCTACATAAACCTGGGCTCAGACTAAGGCTGAATAAACCCAGTACTCAGCAGAGCTGGTGCCCAGCTTCTCATTAACAGCACACTGGTGGCAGGACAGATTCAGTGAGGGTGGGAATTAGTTATCCCTGCTGCTTGGGGAGAGCCTCACATGCTGACTTGCTCCAAACCTTCCCAAACCTGGAGGATATGTCTTTCTGTTAAAATATCACAYGGTGCCTTGGTGATCCTTTCCATCCTGTCCATCTACAGCCAATGGAAATAACATGTGTCTATGTAAGGGACTAAAAACTGGAGCCACCTCACTTGTTTTCCTGCAGAGACCGTTATGTGAAACAGGCTGTGAACCTGCCCTTGCTGCACGGAGCCTCACAAGACTCCACTTGGGTTCAGTAAAGAAGGGAGGCAGCAGGAACAATGCRACCCCATGGGGAGAATGGCAGTGGGGTGGGATGAGGAGCTGGGAGCACTGGGAAACCCTTGCTTTAACAGGACAGTGCTGGGAAGAGTTCTGGGATGGCATATGCTTTGCATCTTAGTTTCTGTATCCCTCTGGTGTCCCTGGCAGAGCTGCACACCACGCCAATGCATGCAGCTGTAAGGTCCTGGATCCTGGTAATTGTTTAGACATTTCCACACTCTTCCCCCATTCAGTTCAATGTTACCAGCCCAATGGCAGCTTGCTCACCTAAGTGTTCAGGTGTTGTAAATTGAGGATATTGCTTTTTAAGCTGTAAATTTAGGATGTTATCCGCAATGTGTACATGAGGGCTGCTCCTCAACATTGCTCACTTTCCTTCGTTTCTCCTGCTYTCTGTTTAACAGCCTGTCTTTTCAAAAATTCCACGGTGCTGGAGTGATTTTTGGTGTGTCATCTTGGGGACTGCTCAGTAAAGCTCTCAGCCACCAAAGGTCACGCATGCCATAGAAATGCCTATTAATAGGTGCTGGTTGTGTCTAAACCGGCATTTCTTGGAAAGAGGCAGCTTGGGTGCCCCGACCAGTGGCTCTCTGGAATACTGTAAAGGTGCAGAGCCAGTCCAGCATCCACAGGGTGTCCCTGCGAGTGGGGACACAGGGTGCAGGGGGATCGTTTAAGGAAGAATGTAACTGTTGAGCCACTGCTGCGTGCGGGGCGAGGGTGCACCTGCTGTAGACAAGCTGCGTGCTCAGCCGGTGCTCCRGGAGCTGCCTCCTCCAGCCAGTGCCGCCGGCCCCCCGGGGAGCTGGGCAAAGGCAGCATCTCTGCAGGTACGGGCAACTCTGCCCTTCCCAGGAGTGTCCGGGCGCTTTTATTTCGGCAAACACAGAYGTTTAAAATAGGATTTCGTTCAACCGTCCTAAGTGACGCCGGCTCTATGTATAGTCCGCGCCTGGGGCCACCCAAGTGAATCAGCCACCTCAAAGAACGCCAAGGACCTGGGCCCGTCCCGGGATGTGCACGCAGCTCCCCCCGCGGTGACCGGACCCTGTGCCGCGGCGGGCGAGCGGGGGGAGCCGACCCCGGCCCGACCCCTCCGCCCCCCGGCGGCGATGCCCGCCCGGCCCGGGAGCCGGCGCGCCGGGCGGAGGAGGGGAGGAGACAGGAGGCGAGGGGAGGGCAGGGCGTGGGCGGCCGCTGCCACCACCCCRTCCCCGCGGGCACGTGCCTGCCCGCCCCCTCGGGCCACTGCCGCGCCCCGACGGCCCCGGCATGGACGCGCCCGCCAGCCCCCGAGCCGGCCCGGAGGGCGCGGCGGCAGAACGGGGCCCGAGCCCGAGCCCGAACCCCAGCCCRGAGGAGCCCATCCAGGAGGAGGAGGAGGCGGCGTACGTGGAGATCCGCGGCTCGCCGCGGGGGCCGGAGGAGAGCCGCCAGAGCTCCCAAGTGGCCCAGGCCGGCGGCGCGGAGGGAGCGGCCGCTCCCGCACCGGACAGCGGAGCCGGAGGGACCGGGGATGACGGCTCGGCGAGCGGCGGACCTCCCGGGGAGGAAGCGGGGCCAGCATCCTTGGACGAGGAGCGGGATCGCCCTCCTTCCCCGGCGGCGGAATGCGGCGCTGACCCCCGCCCCGGCTCCGCGGAAGCGGAGGAGAGCGGCGGGACGCCGGASGCGGGGGGCTGCCCGGAGTCCTCCTCCTCCTGCCCTTCGCCCGTGACCAAGGCGAACGACTTCGCCGCGATGGGCGACCCGGTGTCGACGGAGGGCAAAACCTCTTCTTCCTCCTTCGGCTACGAAAGCGAAGTGGAGGATGAGGTCGCGGGGCGCAAGGCGACTCCCMCCGGCGCCCCCCCGAGCACCCCTCCCGGCGGCGGCCGCGACGAGGCGCACTATATCAGCACGCAGGAAATCCAGCTGAGCGAGGTGGACCACGACATGGACTTCGACGCGGGGCTGGCCGCCCGCTGGGACTTCGAGGATAACAACGTGATCTACTCCTTCGTTGACTACGCCTCCTTCGGGAGCGACGAGACCCCGGGGGACACGCTGACGGAGGAGGAGGAGAATAGCTGCTACCTTAGCACGACCACCAGCGACCCYAACAACCAGACGGACAGCATCGACAACACCAGCAGCACCGAGATCGTCAGCCTTACCTCCGAACACGACACCCCCGGCGGGGACAAGCGCGCCAGCTCGGGGGAAAGCCGGTCCAAGCAGCTCGGCCGCCCCGGCGGGAGCCCGGGCGCCCAGCTTCTCCTATCAATCAAAGCCGCTTCCCGGGCTATAAATGAGTCTAGCAACGTGCACGGAAAGCAAAACACTGTTTACGCTGCCAAGCATGAAGGCGACATGAGTCTCCGTGTCGCCGCGGCTCCCGACCGCAGTGCGAGTTTAAAACAGGATGCGGTCCGCGACCACGCGAAAAAGTTCATCGCGGTCCCCGCGCGGCTGCAGACGCGGTGCGGGGCCGCCAGGGCAGGGGAGCACTCGAGCGGCGCCTCCAGCGCCGTCAGCGAGCTGGACGATGCCGACAAAGAGGTGCGAAACCTTACGGCCAGGGCTTTCCGCAGCCTGGCGTACCCCTATTTCGACACCCTGCGCCCCGGCTCCCGCGCCTCCTCCGCCTCCCTGTCCGACAATGCCCTGGGCATCAACCGCTGGTCCACCTACCTGGACCTCAAGTGTGGCAGTCTGGGGCCGAGAGCCGAGCCCAACCTGCTGCGCTCCGGCCGCTCGCAGACCAAAGCCCTCGAGTTCGTGGTCAGCAAGCTCGACGGGGAGATCGCCCACGTCGAGACGCCGCGGCGGCTGCGGGCGGGCTCCCGGGTAGTGACCCTGCTGGACCTCGGCGATGCCGCCGAGGCCGGGGAGCCGCCGGCGGCGGAGGGCGGCGGGAAGGGGTCCAGCAAGAAGTCCAGGTTCGCCTCCAGCCTCCTCAAAAATGTCATCTCCAAGAAGATGCAGCTGGAGCACGAGTTCAAGATGGAGCGGGGMGAGATCACCGACACCTCCTACACCGGGCCGGGCGCGGGCCGGGAGCCGGAGCCCGCCGGCRGCAGCGCCGGCCGGGAGCGGCAGCGGGAGGGTGGCGTGGAGCGACAGCGGGAGRGTGGCGTGCAGCGGCAGAACTCCCGGCACTCGGAGGGCGGCTCGGACTGCACCGCGGCGCCGGCGGAGGATGCGGGCGAGGGCGGCGGGGGCCGCTCTCCGGCCTCCAAGGCGTCGACGCCCCGCGAGGGGAACCGCAGCCTGGACCGGGCGCTGTCGGAGGAGCTGTGCGAGGTGAAGCGCAGCGCCTCGGAGGCCATCAAGGCCACCTTCCTCCGCAGCCAGAACAGCGCCTTCAGGTCCTGGAAGGAGCGGGAGGCGGAAAGGAAGGAGGAGAGGGCGCCCGTCGGTAAGCTGAAACTCTCTCCCAGGCACGACTGGCGAGCAGACCTGGGTGAGATCTCCGCCGGGAAGTCCACCAAGATGTCCCGCCTGTTCGTCCCCGCCATTCAGCACACCCCTCGGGAGAAGGAACCCGGCAAGAGGGCGACCAAGTGTTCCGCCGCCGCTGCCGCCTCCTCGCCCGCCGGCGCCGCCGCCGCCACCTCGCCCCCCGCCGCCAARCCCAAAGCCCCCGAGATCAAGATCAGCCTGGGCAGCGTGCAGCAGCCCCGGGACGCCGCCTTCAGCATCGCCCAGCTGCTGACGCCGCAGATCGCAGGGAGGCCGCCGGAGGAGGGCAGGGGACAGCCGCTCAAGCCTCTCAAGACCGGCGACGGCCCCGACAAAGTGCCGCAGTTCCTGGTGCGCGACGTGAGGGACAGCAAGTACAGAGCCCAGGGGATCCTCCACCAAGTGCGGGACGTGCGGAAACTCATCAAAAGCTCCTACAGTGCCGACTCGGGGGATAACAGCAGCGACAAGGGCAGCGGTGCCTCGGAGCAAGGCGGCCCGGAGCAGAAGCCCCGGCAGCAGCTGGTCATCGCCGGTGTCCCCCGGTCCCTCTCCCCCGTGGTCATCACCTGCCAGGCGGTCGGCCACGCCGGCATCAAGCCCACCGAGGCGGGGGCCAAAGCGGCRGGCAGGGTGCCGGCCTGCCCCCCAGAGGGCACCGTCCTGGTGCACCGCACCTCGGGCAGGCTGCCAGTGGCCACCATCGCCCCCAACAAGAGCGATGCTCGCCAGCCGGCCGTGCTCAAGATCGTCTCCAAATCCTCCGCGCCCTGGCGGCACCAGCCCCCGCCGCCGCCCGCAGAGAGGGCCCGGGCGCCGGAGGAGGACCCGCGGGAGGAGAGCAAGGCGGCGCCGGTGCAGAACGCGCTGGAGAAGCTGACGGCGGCGGTGCGGAGCATGGAGGAGCTGTACAGCTTCAACAAACGCGAGTGGAAGCGCAAGAGCGACCCTCTGCCCATGACCGACAGCCACGTCCTCTCCCTTATCGCCAGCCAGGAGCGGGGCGCCGGTTCCCGACCCGCCGCCGCCGCCGCTCCGGCCCCGCCACCACCGGCGGACAAGGCGGAGGAGCCGTCGGGCAAGGGGCCGGGCATCGAGCGGCTGCCGCGCCGCTCCTCCAACAGCGCGGCCGACAAGGTCTCGGCCAARGCGGCCGCCTTCGAGAGCCTGGCCCGGCAGCGGCAGCGCGGCCCGCCGGCTCCCCGCAACGAGCCCCCCGCCGCCCCCCGCGCCCTCCTCACCCTCCGCGGGCCGGGAGGAGCCGCAGCCCCCGCTCCGGCCAAGGCCCCTTCCGAGGGCGGCCCGCGGGGCCCGGCACCGCCGCGCTCGCCTCGGCTGCCCGGGGGCGGCGGGGATGCGGAGCGCGGTCCCGACTGCGGGAACTATCTGTCCCTGCCGCTGAAGGCGGCCGCCGAGCCCGGCTCCCCCGAGTCCCCTGCGGCGGCGGGCGGTGTCCGCCCCAGCCCGGTGTCGGCGGCGGCAGCGGCGGCCGCGCTGTGCGGCTTGCAGCCCTTCGGCACGGCCAAGCCCCCC